TTTTTTTTTTTTTTTTTTTTTTTTTTTTTTGCCTACACTGTTGTAATTTCTTCCTTTTTAAAGCACCCTGGATGTAATTTCTTCATTTTTTTTGCCCACTTATCCTAATCCTTCAACAAAGTTCATGAGTTGATACTAATGTATTCTAACAACTGTAGTAATAGGGGATTGACACAACAGGAAGTTTCCTACATAACCCATTTACTCCCTTCTTAAGTTCAAATTCATTCAACTTATCTTTCATTAGATAGCTCCATGCTCTATGTGGTCCTTTACAAAATAAAAACAACCGATATTGGTTGAGTTATTCGAGAAGAATCAGAAGTTATCTTGCATAACCTTAGTCTTCCTACATTTTCATCGTCGTAAAAATGTGTATGCTGCCATATCTTGGCATCCCAGAAGCGGTATATGCCTATAATACCCACTCTACCTTCTTCTAGGTTTTTCAATGCCTTGAAGTATTCTTCAATACCCCATAGAAAATTATTTGGTTCCTTTGCTTGCCTAGAACCATTAAGCACCTTAGGTTTTAGGATTTTCACTTCTATAGACCCAACGGTATAAACCACCTACCATTGCATTAAACTGATCCTTCATCTTCACCATAAAGTTCTTAAAAGATAGTTCAATTCTCTAATACTGTCATTATGTTTAGTCGCCTAAATAATGAGAAGCAAAATCCTATTATCCTGTGGATTATCCTAACAACCCTCCAACTGGCTCTCACAATTGCCAAAAGTTTCTGACATTTTCCTGAGAACAAGAGAGAGTTACCAGCCAAGATAAGTCACGCTTTGATATCATTTGTCACAAGGTTAAAAATCAAGATTTTTTTTTTTTTTTTTTTTGCCTTGTGTAGCACTCATAATCTTCCTAATCAACCTTGAACACAATGGGAAAAAGGGATACACACATTGGGAAGTGAACCATAAAATTGAAAAGCCAAATTTCTCATTCTGATCGTTTTACTAAAAAACTAAACATGTAAGGCTGGAGCTAAAGGAAAACGTGGTCACCAACCTAAAACTAAACATCCCAGCAATGGGAATCAGCAGCGTGCTTTATATGTTGCTGAACTCTAACAAGCTTAGAATTTAAATGATCTAAGATGGCATCTCGATTATACAAACTCCAAAAGGAGTGAAAGAGAGTAAAGAAAACAACAACATCAAGACCAAACTAAGAAATAAATACATAAATACCAAATGAAAGAACAAAATACATAACCAGACAACAACAAAAGAAATAATGAAGGATATAAAAAGCTCTAGTTCAAAAAAAATGGTATCTTGATTGTATAGTAATTGATCCACTTATAGAAAACAAAAGGAGATATAAATGATGAAAGAGGAAAGCCCTGGTAGAAACATGATAAGACGTGGTGAAGCCTTAAAAAGGTTAGAAAGGTGGGTTTTTTTAGTTCGGATAAAAGAAGGCACCTCGTTCAGGACATTGGGGTTCTGTCAAAAAGGATTACAGCACATTGTTCATAAAGCTTCCAAGTAAAACCGAATAAAATGTACCCCAAGAAGTCGCATGTTTTCTTGCTCAGTCAACCCTTTCCTCCTATTCACTATGCATTTCTTCAGATAGCATTTGATAAATTTCATACCAAAGACCCAAATAATTGCATTAAGATCACAACCATTAAGTTGAATCAAAGAATTTGGAACTTTAGATCATCATTACTCATTAGGATCTTGGTCATGATAACAAGAATTATTAAAAGAAAGTCAAAACCTGCGTAAATTCATGGAGAATATCCCTGTGTCTTGCTAGTTTTTGATTTATAGAGGTAGCTGGTGCTGCAAATGCAGCACATCGACTCATTGAATCATTAACGTCCAACAATTTCTCAAGTAAAGATTGGATTTCCATTTCCATAGACTTCCATGATCTGTTGGGACCAACAGACGGTGAACTAGAATCCACATAACCTGATCACAAACACATAAACCATCATCCACACAAACTCATCTAAGAACAAAGACCACGATATAAAACCAGTATACTTAATCAAGCGACACTTAATTTGGGCTATGAAAAGGGGAAAGATCTTGAAGCTATCTAAATATAGAACGTGTAAAAGAATCATGTGACTAAAAAAATATATATATTCAAGGTTTACACTTAGCAAGCTTAATCAAAGTAATGCTGAAATTGGGACTGGAAGTACAAACATTCAAATCATTGGCTTAGATTGAGGCAAAAGATACTTTGCCCTTTAGTGGTGGTTGAGAGGTGCATAGAAAGTTTAGGGTTCTGGATATTCTTTTATTAACTTCCGAACTAAAATATGTTCCAGACCAATTTATATGCTACAAGCCGGTTTGATGTTTTGGGATCATCAAACAATTTAAGAACATAAGTCAATGGATTAATCTTAATTTATCAGTATGGTATAAAGAACACAGATTAACGAATATGCTTGCGAAGCATAGAAGGCATAAGTTAGATCTGAATTTTTTTAAAACTTCAACTTCGAATATCCAAAAAGTCAATGTCTATTCGGAGGTTCCATTGAGGGAATTCTACATAAATTATTCTTACGAAAAGAAAAGGAAAAAAATGTAAACTGTAATGCAAAATTTCCCGAAGCACATTGATAAGAATCTAAAGCCCCGATGGAATTAGCAGTTGCTTTCGGGAAATCATTTACAGCGTAAGGATCAAGGATCAGATAACAGATAAATATCATCATCTTAACAAATTTCAGTAGTTAAATCTTTGATTTGATTATTCATATCTCAGTAATCTAAGAAATGTAGCTGGAGTTATCCTCGACCATCTCACATAAACACTACCATTGTTCCACCACAGAGAAAGGGTCACTTCCATCCATCTCTGCAGGATGAAACTAGTATCGACTGAAAATTACAGCTCTACCAAATACAAATTACATACAGCGATTAAAATGCGTAAATGGCTAAAGAATCAGAGATCCGTGAAGTGAAGCAAAAAGGAAGAAAGCAAACCTCCTTGAGTGAACCTGGTACCGAGCTTCGCATAGGAGGAGAGCTTGACATCGAGATCGCCCTCGATCTTTCGAGCCTCACGCCTCAGCTCCTCCCAACCGGACTCCTGCAATTCAAGGCTCTGATCTGTCATTGCCATCTACAAAATTCACACCCGAAACTCATTTTGGTTTAGTTATCAGTATAGCAATGCTTAATTGGGCTCAATGCCCTTTCCATACTTATTTGTCAAACTACTCGTAAGGTAAGGTATCTATATCCGTACTACAATAAAAAGTAAGAATATTGAAATATATATATATATATATATATATATATTTTTAGACCGCTTTACCATTAATTTTTTAGTTAATTGCAAGTATGTAATTTATTTATAACCCTTTTAACCCTTTGTTTTAAATAATTAAAGTTTTTAAAATTTAATAAATATCCCTCCTTAAAAATTTAAAAAAAAAAAAACTTATTAAGTTTTCAATGAAAAATATTAAAGTTTTGTTTTGTAAATTTTTTTAAAATTTTAAAAGTTTCAAAATACTTTTATCGGTAAGAAAATTTTAAAAAATACTCTTACTATTAAATTTTAATATATTATAGATATCATTATATATTTATCTATAAATAGATATATTCAAATCTCTAAAATCTCCAACAATATATATTTATCTATTTGAATCTTATTCAAATGTGATAGATATTGTTTCCTTAGTATAATTTATTTAATACATGATAATTATACTTAATACATGATAAGAATGAAGGATTCACTCCACAATAAAATAAAAGCATGGGATGTCTTTTGAATTTATTTAGATTAAACAAAACTAAGGCTAAAACAATTAAATATCTCGAAATAAATTAAGATGCTTTTGGGGAGTCTTTAATCTTCTTACTTTAGCTCGTCCAACGAGGTCGAATATTCCATGCTTTCGCAAATTTTTCATTCCCACGTTGTACAACCATCACTTGGGCTTCTTCCTTATACCGTTAGAAATTAAATCACTATGTGGGCTTCTATGAGTTAGCTTGACAGATAAATATTAGTTGGCGGAATCCCTATTCGTCCCAAAATACCAAATACCATGTCACACAGACAATCAACATAATTTAAGAGAAACGAGATGTCATTGATGTCTGAGATGTCTGAGAGGTCTAAGATGTCTTTGATGTCTGAGAGATCTGAGGTTTCTTTGATGTCTGAGACGTCTGAGAGGTCTGAGAAGTCTAAGATGTTTTTTATGTCTGAGAGGTCTATGATGTCTGAGACGTCTGAGATGTTTGAGATATTTGAGATGTCTGAGATGTCTTAGATTTCTAAGAGGTCTGAGAGGTCTGAGAGGTCTGAGATGTCTAAGATGTTTGAGAGGTCTGAGATGTTTGAGATGTCTGAAATGTCTGAAATGTCTTAAATGTCTAAGATGTCTGAGAGGTCTGAGATGTCTGAAATGTCTGAGATGTTTGAGATGTCTGAAATGTCTTAAATGTCTAAGATGTCTGAGAGGTTTGAGATTTCTAAGATGTCTGAAATGTCTGAGATGTCTTAAATGTCTGAGATGTTTGAGATGTCTTAGATGTTTGAGATGTCTGATATGTCTGAGAGGTCTGAGATGTCTGAGGCGTCTGAGAGGTCTTAGATGTCTGAGGCGTCTGACATGTCTGAGATGTCTGAATGTCTGAATGTCTGAATGTCTGAGAGGTTTGAGATGTTTGAGAGGTCTGAGATGTCTAAGAGGTCTGAGATGTCTGAGATGCCTGAGAGGTCTGAGAGATTTGAGAGATTTGAGATGTCTTTGATGTCTAAGAGGTCTAAGAGGTCTGAGATGTCTGAGATGTATGAGAGGTCTAAGATTTCTAGATGTCTGAGATGTTTGAGAGGTCTAAGATGTCTAAATGTCTGAGAGGTCTGAGTAGTCTGAGATGTCTGAATGTCTGAGAGGTCTGAGATGTCTGGGATGTCTGAGATGTCTGAAAGGTCTCAGATGTCCCAGATATATGAGGTGTCTTTGATGTCTGTGATGTCTGATATGTATGAGATGTCTTAGATGTTTGAGAGGTTTAAGAGGTCTGAGATGTCTTTAATTTCTGAGATGTCTGTGATGTTTGAGAGGTTTGAGAGGTCTGAGATGTTTTCGATGTCTAAGAGGTTTGAGATGTCTAAGAGGTCTTAGATGTCCGAGATGTCTGAGATGTCTGAAAGGTCTGAGATATCTGAGAGGTCTGAGGTGTCTTTGATGTCTGTAATGTCTGATATGTATGACATGTCTTAGATGTCTGAAAGGTTTGAGAGGTCTGAGAGGACGGAGATGTCTGAGATGTATGAGAGGTCTGAGATGTCTGAGATGTTTGAGATGTTTGAGAGGTCTAAGATGTCTGAGATCTCTGAGAGGTGTGAGAGGTGTGAGATGTCTTACATGTCTGAGAGGTTTGAGAGGTCTTTGATTTCTGAGATGTATGAGACGTTTGAGAGGTATGAGATGTTTGAGAGATCTGAGATGTCTTAGAGGTCTCAGATGTCTGATATGTCTCAAATGTCTTTAATGTCTGAGAGGTTTGATATGTCTCAGATGTCTTTGATGTCTGAGAGGTCTGAGAGGTCTTAGATGTCTTTGATGTCTAAGAGGTCTGAGAGGACTAAGATGTCTGAGATGTATGAGAGGTCTGGGATGTCTGAGATGTTTGAGAGGTCTGAGATGTCTGAGAGGTTTGAGGTGTCTTTGATGTCTGTGATGTCTCATATGTATGAGATGTCTTAGATGTCTAAGAGGTGTGAGACGTCTGAGATGAATTTGATTTATGAGATGCCTGAGAGGTCTTAGATGTCTCTGAGAGGACTAAGATGTCTGAGATGTATGAGAGGCATGGGATGTCTGAGATAACTGAGAGGTCTGAGATGTCTGAAAGGTTTGAGATGTTTTTGATGTCTAAGAGGTTTGAGATGTCTGAGATGTATGAAAGGTTTGAGATGTCTTTGATGTCTTAGAGGTCTGAGATGTCTTTGATTTCTGAGATGTCTGAGATATTTGAGAGGTCTGAGAGTTTTGAGATGTCTTTGATCTCTGAGAGGTCTGAGATGTCTTTGATTTCTAAGATGTCTCAGGGTTCTGAGATGCCTTTGATCTTCCAAAGGTTTGAGATGTCTGAGATGTCTGAGAGGTTTGAGATGTCTGAGAGGTTTGAGATGTCTGAGAGGTATAAGATGTCTAAGATGTCTGAGATGTCTGAGATGTTTGAGATGCCTGAGATGTCTGAGATGTCTGAAATGAATGAGGGTCTGAGATGTCTTTGATGTCTGAGAGGTCTGAGATGTCTTTGACGTTTGAGAGTCTGAGAGGTTTGATATGTCTTTGTTGTCTTAGATGTATGAGATGTTTGAGAGGTTTGAGATGTCTTTGATTTCTGAGAGGTCAAAAAAGTCAGAGATGTCTGAGAGGTTTGAGATGTCTTTGATGTTCGAGAGGTCTGAGAAGTCTTAGAAGTCTGAGAGGTCTGAGATGTTTGAAGGTCTGAGAGGTCTGAGAAGTTTGAGATGTTTGAGAAGTCTGAGAGGTCTTAGATGTTTGAGATGTCTTTGATACCTGAGAGGTTTGAGAGGTTTGAGATGTCTGAGATGTTTGAGATGTCTGAGAGGTCTGAGATGTCTGAGATGTCTGAGATGTCTGAGAGGTTTGAGATGTTTGAGATGTGTTTGATATCTGAGAGGTCTGAGATGTTTGAGATGTTTGAGATGTCTGAGAGGTCTGAGACGTCTGAGATGTTTGAGAGATCTAAGATGTCTGAGAGGTGTGAGTCGTCTGAGATGAATTTGATTTCTGAGATGTATGAGAGGTCTTAAATGTCTTTGATGTCTGAGATGTGTGAGAGGTCTGAGAGGTCTGAGATGTCTTTAGTATCTGAGAGGTCTGAGATGTCTGAGATGTCTGAGAGATCTGAGATGTCTGAGAGGTCTGAGATGTCTGAGAGGTCTAAGATGTCTGAGATGTCTGTGAGGTCTGAGAGGTCTGAGATGTCTGTGAGGTCTGAGAAATCTAAGATGTCTGAGCTGTCTGAGATGTCTTTGATGAATGAGATGTTGGAGAATTCTAAGATGTCTAAGAGGTCTTAGATGTCTGAGATGTCTGAGATATCCTAGATGTCGGAGATGTCTAAGTGGTCTGAGAAGTTTGAGATGTTTGAGATGTATGAGAGGTCTGAGAAGTCTTTAATGTCCAAGAGGTCTGAGAAGTTTTAAAAGTCTAAGAGATCTTAGATGTCTGAGATGTCTGAGAGGTCTGAAAAGTCTGAGATGTCTTTAATGTCTGAGAGATCTGAGAAGTTTGAGATGTCTGAGATGTCTGAAAGGTCTAAGATGTCCGAGAAGTCTTTGATATCTAAGAGATCTGAGAGGTCTGAGATACTTGAGAGGTCTGAGATGTCTGAGATGTCTAAGATGTCTGAGATGTTTGAGACGTCTGAGAGGTCTAAGATGTCTTTGATGTCTGAGAGGTCTGAGATGTCTGAGATATTTGAGAGGTCTGAGATATCTTAAATGTCTAAAATGTATGAGATGTTTGAGATGTCTGAGAGGTCTAAGAGGTCTAAGATGTCTTTGATGTCTGAGAGGTCTGAGATGTTTGAGAAGTCTAAGATGTCTGAGAGGTATGAGATGTATGAGATGTCTGAGATGTCTGAGAGGTCTTAGATGTCTTTGATGTTCGAGAGGTCTGAGATGTCTTTGATGTCTGAGAGGTCTGAGAAGTCTTAGAAGTCTGAGATATCTGAGAGGTCTGATAGGTCTAAAATGTCTGAGAGTTCAATGAAGTCAGAGATGTCTATGATGTCTGAGTTGTCTGAGATGTTTGAGAGGTCTAAGAAGTTTGAGATGTTTAAGAGGTCTGAGATGTCTGAGAGGTCTGAGAAGTCTTAGAAGTCTTAGAAGTCTGAGAGCTTTGAGATGTCTGAGATGTCTGAGAAGTCTGAGATGTTTGAGAGTTCTGAAAAGTCTAAGATGTCTTTGATACCTGAGAGGTCTGCGAAATCTGAGATGTCTAAAAGGTCTAAGATGTATGAGATGTCTTTGATGTCATAGAGGTCCTAGATGGCTGAGATGTCTTTGATATCTGAGAGGTTTGAGAGGTTTGAGATGTCTGAGATGTTTGAGATGTTTGAGAGGTTTGAGATGTTTTTAAAGTTCGAGAGGTCTGAAATGTCTGAGATGTCTAAGAGGTTTGAAA